CGTGGAAAACTTTCACTTTGCGACGCGGTGTCGCCTTTAATCCACGAAAACTCGAGCCACTTGGAGCGATACACTGGGTGATCTCGATATAACGCAACAGCGACGGCGCACCACCACTCTGCACCTGCCTCGTAGAATTTAATCACGATGGTTACTCTGTCCGACCGAAACCAATTATTGCGCAGACGTACTCACACAACCCGGTACACGCTTACACCGCCCAGTTATGCAGACGTTCTATATACACCTATACAAACCTCCATAACCCACTACGAATATAATATACCCACATTAATTTCACTCTAAACACATCCAATTCCATCGCATTCGTCGCGGGCGAAATAGACAGTAAATAATTGTTAACGTTCTCTTTTTTGTAATATCACGCACTATAAGCGATTGTCTTTTAATAGAAATTTTCAACGAAACGAAAACCATAGAGATTTATCAGATATTTTGATGTGAGTTTGATCAAAGGTTCGGACGAATGTCTTTTTATAGATAAAGTTGAAGAAACGGATTCGTCGATGTGAAAATAGATTTTGATTTCGAATAGGTCGATCGTTTATTCGTGGTTCATAAGTTTTTGATCAATTACGCGAGATCGAGTTTCTGACACGAACTCCGCCATTTCCGGAGAAAGGTTTCTCCTAGTAATTCAATTTCTGACGGGCGTCTACCATCGCGAGCGCGATGCGAATTGGGGCGGAAGTGTGGATTTGAATCGCCCACGGAATTGTTACTCCTTATAAACGGTACTGTTATTCCGAGCATACATCTACGGAAACTGTCCGCAGGTTTTCAGTCTGCTAACTCTGGATGTTTATGAATTTATAGTCTGCCAAGCCGAAGAACGGCTGAACAAAAGACTTCATTCGACTTTAAAAATATTTCCCAGTAAATCGATGTTTCCTCGGCGAAATCAAATCAGGTTATCTATACTCCATTTTTAACGGAGTGAACCATTATTCGAGGAAGCTCCATTTAAGTAGAAACAATCTTTTGTTCTAATACAGTGACCACTGCGTATTTTTCACGAGCGTCTGATAACTTTAAAATTAAGCCTCTTACAACGAGTAGAATACGTCTTACACAATAAATAATGATATAGTAATATTTCTTTATTTAAAATAATTCTTTATTTCATATAACCTAGCTATAGAAAAAACAAGGTGCTGCCAAGAGAAACAGATCTCAATTACTTCACGATATAAAGAATATCAATAACATAAAAATAAACCAACCCATGTTACTCTTCTTGTTCCAGAATCACTAACAACGTATAACCATTAACTACTCGAATCTTACAAAACAGGTTCATTTAGATGACATAATGATCACCGGAAGCTCAAAAAATTGCATTCCCGTGATTTCCATAAAAAGTAGATAACGTTAAATTCTTCTGAACATTCCTCCGATCTACACTGTATACATGCATTTGCCACGAATGCATAAAATTCGCCGTCTAATTATTATACTCCACAAGCACGCGAGTTCGGGATCGAACGTGCTTGCTTGGCTGCGAAACGGCCGTGGTTCCCCTTCGAATCCCAAGATGATCGTTCCTATCCTGAAACAGAAGTTCCTCTCCATAGGATTCGGAGCCCGGAGGAAGAAGGGTGGTGGAGCGTCGTGTCTGGTAGCGTTGGATACACGTAACCGTGGGAGGCGAAGGCGGGTACCCCGGAGCGAAGGAGGACGACGGTGTTGGCACTCTCGGGGGCCATTATTGATTGTTGTTGATAATTAGCCGGTACAGGCGCGTCAATCACGAGGCAAGGCGAGGTTATTAGGCTGTTGGTTAGCACCGGGCCGATACCGCGCGCACACAGCCGCACGCATCGCCCGTTATATACGTGCTCGTTGCGCAGCTGTCCGTGTGTGCACGGGAACGCCGCCGCCGCCATTGAGCCACCCGATTACCCCCCACAATTCGATCTAATGCGCTACGCTGCGACGCGAGAGAAGGTTAATTATGCAGTTAATGAGAGCCTGAATATATATACCCCACGGGGTGTCGGGATCCATCGGCGAAAAGAGAATCATTTGGTGCCCCGGCCGGATTCGATTGTTGGATTTGGTTATGGATGAGGAACCCCGGAAAATGGTCTTCCATTATCTTTCCGTTTCGAATTAAACGCGTTAGACGCGCGACGCCCCGTTCGACCGGCATTGTTTTTCAACCGTTCCGACGGACCGCTGACTGATTTCTCTTCTCTTTTTTCAATTAACCTAGCCGTGGATTTATGTCGACGTGGATTTGACGCTTGATTTGCTTTCAATTATTGGGAGCCTACGAAAGTTTCGCTCGCCAATTCTAGAGGCTACTGAAATTGGAATGTATAGTTTAACCCTTTCGTTCCTGAATACGTGTTTCTCCCTAAATCAAAGGAGGCGGGGGAAGAATAGTTGATTTTAAGTGAAATTGAAGTTTTTTAGTGAAAAATGTGATAATCCTTTTAAGATGAGCGGAGGGTGTGGGTGGTGCAAGTGTACCAGTATTTAATTTGGTACATATTGGAGATTTTAAATGTTCGTGGCACCTATGAGTACCATTTGGACGAAAGGTTTGAGGCGAAACGAGTAGTTTTATTTATGATAAGAATTAATTAACAGCTGGATTGAGTAAAGCGTTCAGTTTACTGGTAGTGAAGTAATTCCACGCTTTTAAACGGCTTTACGTTCCCGCAGCCCATAAAACGAGCGTGATCTTTGTCCTGGATGTTCGCGCTGGCGCATTTTAATGTTTTACAAGGTATTAATAATATATTATCCGAGGCATGGTCGGAGAAAGTGTTTATTTGCTACGATAGCGAGGTGAACGATCGTCGTTCGTTCGCGCAGCCCCGCAAAATCAATTTCTTCTCCAATTACGGTGTTCATGTTCTTGGGCACTATAATAAGGACGGATAATGGGAAGGTGGCGTAATTTACATTGAAAATGACCGTGTAATAGTTTGTCGGAAGTGCAGGTTACGGCGGTCACCTGCCAGAACTTGTTTAACGACGTCGAAATGTCGCGTCGCCGATATAGCCGAGAAATCCGCAAAATCCTTAAGCCAATTAATACCGACTCTCGGAGCGAGCTCTTTTCGGAGAGTCAATAAGAATAAGCGGACAAAGAATTACATTTGGGGACGTTAGTTAGTCGAATTTCTTGCCACTTGAAGCGGCTCGCCGTAATGATCGTATACAGTCGTAATTGACGGACTCGCGGCTTCTAAACACAGATCATTCAACTTCGATCGATATTTAAAACGAATAAGAAATTATATACGGAAGACCGATGCTTCCGACTGTCCCATTTTCGTCGGTCGAAACCGAGTCGCTTAATAGTCGGTATATTGACGGATTCGCGACACGCCACGCAAAACAACCAAAAACGGAGAGTTCCCTTTTTGCAGGCCACCGTTCAATTTCCGTGGCGCGACACTGAACATCGCGACCGACCAAATTCTATTGGAACGTTGATTCCTACGATAAATTGCCGGATTCTGCGTAACGGAAAAGTCACTGACACGTGTATTTTCGTGCTTCGATATTTGTCCATTGTGCTTTCAACTGTATCTATCTCTCTCCGTTCTCTCTTCTTTCATTCACTATTTCTCATTCTGCCTCTTTCCCTGGGTTGCTGTACGGTGAGATAAGGAACTCCCTGTTCGATTGTGAATTATGATTCCACATGAATTTATATCCGGTACATTTTGGAAATGTACGAAACAGTTTCGATGAATTGGAATGTAGGACAACCGTTGACGGGATTATTTTGAACTAAATCCACGCGATAATAACAAGACTAAGAAACTTCTATTCCCAGCCACGAATAGTAGGAAATGAAGATATCCCGTCATTTCGTGAAATGATAGATAAACGTCACCTTTTTTCATGGTTGTAATTGGACTCATTCGATTCGGAACCGACACCTGATGTACAACGTATATTTTTACACTCGCTGGTTCGTAAACTCGAACCGTTCGCTGTCACATCGGGCAGAAAAATCGGGACGAATTAAGGCTGTATATTTAAAGGCACGCATTTCCATTTCATAAAAGGGAATCGATAATGAGTTATCCGGGTAGGACTCTGATAATACACTGTTAACTGCACAGTCGATGCGTGGATCAATTACAACCCTTATGACGATCCACTGAATTATGCGCTGTGTATTACAGAGGAAATAATTACGGGGCCCGTGTGAATCAATAATCGTCGCAGAGATCCACGGTGTTGCGTTAAAAATTAAACGACGCGTGCGAACGAAATGCCAATAAAAATGTCGTCGCCGAATAACGCGGAAAGTCGAAAGTTCGGGGAATATTGAAATTCTTTGTTACATTCTAGCCAATTAACCGGATTATTCGGAATGATTGTACCACGATATTTTTACGAATAATGGTTTCCAGCGAGAGAGACGGAGTTCCATGCATGCATTTCGCCATTAACGCATCGCGAACGGTCTGCCGTGATATTCCTGGAATCGAATTCAAACATTTTTCGACTGTCACTCGAAAGAATACGTTAACTGAGGATTGGTTATAACTAAAAATATTATCATCTGTATTCCGATAAATGGAACGCAAATATTCATGGAAATTCACCAATATGGACATTAATTTATACAAATAACCTATAGAAACATTCATTCCGCTAACGGAGAGCGTCATTACGCTCAAAGCAATTTCCTAATTTTCCTTTGTTAGAGCTTCGGTAGAAAATATACGCTAATAGAACAATTCGACTTTATTTGAGACAAAGAAGTGACAATCGGTGAATTCGTCGGTCCACAAAATGCCGGAAGGCACGGCGCAGCAAAATTTACGTGGCCGCGAAATTCCGTTCGCTCGCGCACGGCCGCCGAGCGTTACAACACTTGTAATAGCTACCATTATACGCGCATAATAGAGGTAATAGCTGGGACTGGATAAATCGATCACCATTACCGTACCTATTAACCGTAACGACCGTTTCCGAGGAGACCTGACCACTCCCGTGGGTTCCAGGTGAGAACAGCTGCAACTCCACCGGTGGCGGTAGCGACGAGGAACTCGGGGCAGGCTGCGGGGACGATTTAAACGGGAACGGCGGGAAGAAGAAGCATCGCCGGAACAGGACGACCTTCACCACCTACCAGCTGCACGAGCTCGAGAGGGCCTTCGAGAAGTCTCATTATCCGGACGTGTACTCCAGGGAGGAACTCGCCATGAAAGTCAATCTTCCGGAAGTGCGAGTCCAGGTGAGTTATTCCCAACGAATCTGCGAATCGCCGGCGAATATGTACGCTCTGGTGCCATTTCTATTTCCATTTCGCGACCCGAAAAAAAAAGAACAGAAGGACTCATCACGGGAAATAGATTGGTATACCGTTTTTGTTGCTTGATACAATTTCCCCGAGATATTTCTATTTCCATTCTCCATTCTGAACAAAAGAAAGTGAAGCTTATCCTACCAGAAAATAGATATATCTTTCCCACTATTTTTGTAGGTTGATAACGTTCCATTGAAATGTCTGTGACTTCCTTTCCGTCACCTTTAATCATTTCCGGCAGTCCATATTCTGTGGATCGAGATATTTCGGTTACTTAATGTGTTTGGTAACGAAGAAGAACCAAGGATCCAAGAATATACAACGTTGTTCGGTATTTCGTATTTTGTTGTGTAAAAACGCGTTAAAATCTATTGTAACGGACGCCATTTAGAACGAAGGACACGGGACCCGTGCATAACGCCGCGAATCCCGAAAAGATACGGACGTCGATCGACCGTTAATCGCGCGCACGCCATTTTCCCCGTAATCAAAGATCCCCGTACGGATTAGAGAAACGGCGGAGAATAATTGTGTAACACAGGCCGGTTAATCGGCGGGCCGGTATATCAAGCCCGGCGGTTCCCGGGGCGACAACGAAAATTCATACATTTTTAAATAATCGCGCCGGCAACGGAGTCACGCGACTAACGAGGAATTAACTCGTTAACCCTCACGACACCGCGATCGTATTACCGGGAACAGTGTAACGGAAAGAAACGGGGAAATGAAAGGAAGCAAGAGGAAAAGGAAAACGACGAGTCCCGCCGCGGCGCGGTAGCGTTGTATCGAGCCGCGGATTCGTGCACTTCAACGACCGACGACAAAGTTTATTAAAAAGCACAGCGTAGTCGTTTGGTCGTCATAGCGGTGCTTTTTTTTAACCCCCGCTCGGGAATTACGGTACAAATTTCGCGCTTTGACGCGGACCGACCAATAATTTTCGCAAAGCGAATCGCGCTTTATTGGCTTTTATATTTTTCATGAAAGTAACAGTGCCGGCGCAGGATAAAAGAAAAGTAGCGGGGGGAAAAAAAACGGGGGAAAAAAGGACATAGAAATTCACGAGAGAACATAGAGATAAGTGTTCCTTCGGCCGATGATAAATTATCGTTCCCGGCGATTAACCGTAATTCGCGGGACGTTCAGCGATTCGTGACGTGACCGATCACGAAACAACCGATTTATTGTTATCTCCATCTTCGTTCGTATCGCTCGCTCTCTTTCCGTCTGTTTTTCCCTTCCGAGCGAAGCGGATACGAGTGTCGTGGCCGCGTGAACGCGGCAAAGCTCGCGCTGGCGGCCTGCGCGCCGCGCACGCTCGCGCAACGAGCTGTCCGGGGTTAATGGTAGCGTTTCCGTGCAAACAATCGGAACAGCAATCGCCGCCTGACGCTGGCCCGACGTATTAAACTAAATTAAATTAATTATGTGCGTGACAGCGATAAAAGCACGCAGTCGCATGCGACGACGCATCGATTAGACTCCCGGGGCCACGGTTCCCGAGCGTGGTACGTGTGCACGTCGCGCCGGCCGCGCCGTAGTTCACCGCGGCCCGGATAATAACCTGCCCGCCGCGCCGCTGGCTGCCTTCACGAGGCACCTGCTTTTTTGCCTGTCGAAGCGCGGAATTGATTTTTCACCGGGTTTTCACTTCGCCCCGTTCGACTGCCCGGGAACCCGGGCACGCGTTCCGAATCTCCCGGCATCGGGCCGGGATGTTATCGACGCGTTAACGTGCCATCCGCGCTGCGCGCGGGTCGCAAAATTGAATAAATGACGTCAAAAATTCGAATTTACGGGCTTGTTGGGTTGCCAGCTCGCAACGGCGATCGCTCGGAATTACAGTGCGGGTCGTTAAAGGCTAGGGGTTTAACGAGCGTAAATAATGTCCGCGGGAGGACGCTTTCCTTGAACGTCGCGTAACGTTCGACACGTTCGTTTCCAGCGTAAATGTTTATACCGTGAATACATTGAAACTTCAATATTCGAGTCGAATCGAAGAGAAGAAGATATCGAGATTAAGCGACTTTCCAGACTATCAGGTGATAGGTACATTCCTCTCTCAAGACCGATCGAAGCCGACTTTGTTCCCGAAAAAGAAATTACCTTAAGACGACGTTCGCTTCACTGGCCAATATCCCGACGAGCCCAATCGTCGGGAGACCCACGCAATTAATACGGAAGAAAACGCGGAAGGAGGGCGCGGTTGGACGCAGCGTCCAGAGGACGGTGCGCGATCGCGTGAAAAGGACGAAGGATAGGATTGGAGGTCTTCCCCTCCGGTCGGGTCGCAATTAAAAATTTAAATTGCGTTTAAAACCTGCCGGTGCCGGCGTCGCGGCCCCGTCGTCTCCGTTCTCGTTCTGCTTTTTTGCAATTTTCTCGAGGGGGTTGGCCGCTCGTCTCGCGTTTCCCCCGCCGCGCCTGTTCCAGCTTTCTTCTTCCATCGACTGGAAATCGAGGAGCCGTGAGGCCAGAGAAGGGAACACCGGTGCGCCCCTAAGGTACACCTAATCGCTTAAGCTTATTACGCGAGCAGACAAGGCGAAGGAATCAGCCGTGTTCCTCGCGAAAAGTGTGGGAGGGTTGAGAAAGAGGTAGAGAAACGGAGAGACGGAATGACAGCGTGAGCGAGAAAGCGAGAAGGGAAGAAAGAGGCAGAGAGGAAAAGAGAGAGAGAGTGATGGCGGGCGAAGGTGGTAGGGAGGTAGGGATAGAGATTGGGTGGAACGGTTGCGAAACGTAGAGGCGGACGCACGTTCGGTTTCATCATTTTTAATTGATAGCGCACGCCAATCCTATCTGTCGGATTTATTAGGCCGGTCGACGAGATGGTTTTGCGGAAGGGTGGAAGGGGCTGATAGCGAAGGGAAAACGGAGCTTTTATTGGACAAACCGGGCCGTTTCGATGGTAGGGGGCTCCGGTCGGCGGTCACCGTAGCCCCGATTGCGACCGGGAAAGCGCGTTTTCCAGATTTTCATGCATCCTCCGGCCGCATATACGCCGGATTGATTGCGGGGATTAACGCTGTTTTCTCGCGATAATTATCGTCCGTAGCGCGGAGGTTTTATTGGACGCGGGCCCCCGAACGCCTCGACCGATATCGAAGCAGCGAATTGCTTATTAAGCTCGTTATTGTAACTCAGCTCCATTACCGAAAATCGGTCCCACGCGAGACAACGATCTCTCGAAATGGCGGCCACCGTCGCGTCACCGTGAATCTCTCGAAACTGATTCTCCTTTTCCGACGCGGCGAATCCTGAAGTTGTACATAGAATGATCGGACGCGTTCTTTGACGTCGCAGTTTTCGCGTAGATTTCCGTCGAACGGAAATCGCGCAGCAACCCTTTGAAAAATCACGGAAAGTGACGTATAGAAATTAAATTATTGTAAATCGTTGAAGGCAATTCCCGTTGGTTCGTTATTGGGAGCACTGGATTCTAATTGATGCTAAAGGAATTACAAAAAATCCACGGGGAGATGAATAGCGTTCGGTAATGGGAACACGGTCTGGCGGCCTCGGGAACAGAGCTAAATCGTCAATTATTAAATGTTCGCTTCGATTCCTCGATGGCCGAGGGCCAAGCTGGATACTTTTCCCGTTGCCGGTAACGTTTATTTCCTCTCCGTTTGTCCGTCGCGCGGCCATAAAAAGGTCACATCGAAATTGACGGGAACGAGCTTAATGAAACGTACATATTTCTGCCTGATACGACGGCATCAAAAGGGCATTAAATCTTTATAATCGGCCGTTCGCCGGTGCTCAATTTTTTATCGGTCCACGGCGAATATTCTACGTCTGCTCCACCTCACCCTTTCGCCCGTTGCATCGTCGAGATACATGATTGTTGCGCGTTTAACTTCGCCGTCACGCGAACCAAGTTTCCGCCGAAGAACGGGGAATAAGGCATAACCGACTAACTCGACGATTTGCGCCGAGTGACTGGGCCTCCGATGGGAATCGATACAGGGGTGAGTTTCGTTGGAAACACTTAACGAATTAACCGAGCCGAGAAACACCTGCTGATCGGGAACTTTCGGGAAAAATGTAGGGGGACTTATCGGTATTATTCACGTGTTACTCGCGGTGAACGTTTTAAATTTCGAAGTTGAGAATCTTCGAAGAATAATGTCACTTAATTTATCTCTGACCTTTTAAACTTCTACCCTGAATAATTTGCATTTATACATTTAAGAATATCACTCTCGAAGGTATATAACTGTTTTATCAACATGTATTTTCACTCTTCATATTAGACTCTGACAATATTCGAGTGTACTATCTATAAACTCCATAATGCAACGATTCATTTAAAATTAGTTACTTAGAACTCGTTTATATATATATATTGGTTAGAAAAGTGGAGCCAAATATCGAAGTCAGTGGCAGCAATAAAGGTAAATTCGATTTCAAGTTCCCCGCGGGGCTGAATGCAGTTTTCTAAATGAGACATTCAGAGACAATAAAAAAACAGATAGCATAATAATATAACATGGCGAAACGAAGAGGAAGTTGGGCGGCGTTTCGCTCGCAGGACCTGTTGGAACTACATTTTCCCGGTGACCACCGAGAATGGAATCGACAACGGCGGAGAGCACCGCGGGGCGGGCGGAAAAAAAGCGGGCAGATTGATTTTTCGCGGTAGGCCAACTAATTTGGAATGGAGAACGAGAGAGGGATAGAGAAAGCGCGTGGAAGGGGACGGGCGGGAGAGAGACGAGCCGGATAGACAATCGTTCCGCGCGCTCGGCCGTTCGGCGATTGCCAATTGGAAAAATACTCCAATTCGATTACAATTTTTTTTCGAGGCTTTCGCACACCACCGCCGGGGAAGAATTTCAAACCGGTCGCCTACGACGGGAAATACATTCGTCGGGGTTAGGTCGGCGAGGGAGGGGCGGGGGAGGGGACGGATGTGAAACTAA